TTTTCTGTCATCTGACAAAACCTTTGCAATGGCCTTCTCCTGCTCCAGAATTCTTGCAATCATTGCATGACGCGACCCCCACCTGGTGGGGGATTCTGTGATCAACTTGTGCTTTGGCAGTTTAAGTTCATCCTGGGCAGCTGCTAGTGCTTTTTTCTTTTTCCATGAGTAAGAAAAAGCACTGACCAGTTTTTTGGACACACCAACATCTCTCAATCCTCTTGTCTTTCATGCTTCCACCTGAAAAAAATATTAAATAACTTAACAAATCTGAAAATTACTAGAATTGACATAGAGACTGCAAAATGCAAAACCTACAAACTCCATAAAACAATTTTAGTTTGCATTTTTTCAAATGCTATTAATCAAGAGATAACCAAAAACTGGGTTCAGTAAGTGTCAGATAGACAACAAAAAGCTTTCAGTTGATCCAGAATGGTACGACAAGAGTCCTGATAAATACTTTTCAACCTCTTAGGGCCCTGTGTCCACACATATGTGGACATTGGCTCCTTACACTATAAAATGTTTAATCTTCACCTTAGACCTTTTTGTTATCATTTATAGACACATGATATTGACTAAGTTAACTTTTTTTGTTTTCTTCTTTATAGGAAATTTGACAAATTCTTTATTTAATGAAATTTAATTTATTTTAATATTTGTAATTTTGTTTTTTAATTAGAGTAGACTACTCTGTAATAGTTTGATATACTTTTTCTTTTAAATCACAACAAATACAGGTTCAGGTCTCAGGAGGTTAAATTTTCTCCTGTTGTAGCTTTCCTTCATTGCCTCCCTCTTAAATGTAATTATAAGATCCCCTAATATTTAAAGCTCTAAAAACATATTTTCTATTTGCATTGTTTATTATATATTAATATAGAACCAATTTCTTGATATTTACTTACCTATAGCGGAGTGCAGCCGGTGACCAAAACACTGAAGCCGAGTCCATCCTTGGAGAGCAACAGCTTTAACTATGTTGGCTCCGTTATCTGTTGTGATGCACACCTGGCGGTCTTTGCTCAGGTTCCATGATTCCAGTGCATCCTCCAGCCCCCGACTGATGATTTCAGCTGTGTGGTCCTCCGGAAAATATGCTGTCCGCAGGCATGTACTTTGAAGAGTCCACTCCTTGTCAATGTAGTGTATTGTTAGACTCAAATATGGCTCAGATGAACGACTCGACCAAAGGTCAGTGGTAGTTGCAATCCATCTTTGAGCTCCATCTCTAGCTTTTCTCTGCATTCATCATACAGCTGTGGCAGTGCGGTTTGAGAAAAATATTTTCGGCCAGGTATTTCGTACCTCTGGTCCAGCACTTTGATTAAATGCTTAAATCCTTCTTTCTCTACTGTGTTCAGAGGCATCATGTCTTTTGCGGTACAAAAAGTTATAGCTTTTGTGATGGTTTTGCTTCTCTTTGAGTTCTGCTTGTACGGTGCAACAGCTGAAAATGACGAGATGATTGATTGCTGTTTTGGTTGCGCAGCTGCACCGCCAGTGCCAGCTGGACCACTACTAGCAGCCACGCTAGTGCTAAGTCTACTTTGAGACAAGCTAACAAGTTGTCCGGACTCTGCTCGCATTTTCACGCTCTCTGTATAATCACTTGGGTGGTATTTCTTTAGATGATTAAATAGATTCGTAGTGTTGCCAGTTTTTGAAGGCACCATTCGCCGACATACCTTGCATATCGGCTTGATTTGCTCAACGTCACTTTTGAGATACCCGAACCACCGCCACACAACTGATGTTGAGTAACTTTTCTTCTGAACAATGTCTTCATCTCCAGAAGACAACTCCGAGTCATGACTGGGATCTACTTCGCTGTCTTCAGCTCCACATTTGGCCATTCTGCTTAAACCTCCTCACCGAAGTAGCGGAGCAGGAAAAGTGTTATTGCAAATGCTTCTTCTTTTTGTTAAATGGCGGTGGTCAACCAACGCGCATGGAGGGTTAGTGCCCCCTACTGAGGCTGCAAACGTGTTATTTCTGATCGAGACTCCCAGCTGATCACCGTATTTGAACTGAAAATGATCGTGATCACAAAGTACGATCATATGATCGCCCAGCCCTAGTTGGAATGCAAGCCTTCCCTTCTATTGCTTTATGCTAAAATAACTGGTTACAAAATGTTTTATCTGACTTCTGATTTTTGGCATTAAAATACTTTTGAGTTTTACACTTTTGAGTTTTGGGTCCTTTCCAAAGCCGACAGTATTTGGAAAATGAAAAACTAAGATAAGTTAAATGACTAGTATGTGGCAATATAGAAGCCTTATATAAAATATAAGACTGAAAAAATACAATAGATTTATTCTGTTGTAGAGAGGAATGTTTATTTTCTCGTCGTATTACCACCCCTCCTCCTCTCCCAGCTAAGGAGTTACTGCCCTGCATGACTAAAGGGGAAGCAGCATGAGCTCTGCATAGAGCGTAATGCTGCTGCAGTTTTTTCGTTTCATTTTTCTTTCAGGGTAACTTTTCAGTACAAGTTGACGAGGCACACAACAAACTTAGAAAGCATGTTGAGGGGGAACATACTTTTGTCATTGCTTATTTTATCGTTCAACTTAACGCTGACACAACAAATATGCTTAAAACTGAAGACTTACCTCCTACTTCCTCATCACTGTCGTCTCTGCTTGACTGAATTGCTCCTGCTGCTCCGCTGCATGTGTGCTGTGACGGTGGCTCCACCCCCCGAGGAGTGGAGCCACACAACATGAGTTCATGAAGCTGGCGCCATCTGCTGGATAGGTAGCACAATATCGGCCATCTTTTTGGCCGATAGCCGATAGTGTTAATGACCCCAATGTTGGCCGATAATATCGGCCAGCTGATATATCGGTTGGGTCCTAAATAAAAGTACTTTATACCTAACCCAAAAATCAACGGGCAGCCAGTGCAGTGAAGCCAAAATCGAGGTGATGTGATCCTTCTTCGAACCCGCCATTAGGTGTGCTGCATCATTTTGCACCATTTGAAGACGGGAGAGGTGAGACTTAGAGAGACCAAAGTACAGTGATTTACAATATTCAAGGCGCAATTAAATATATGTGTGAATCACTGTCTCAAAATCATGTTTTGACAGCAAATGCTTAACCTTAGCAATCCTCCTTAAATGATAAAAACTACCTTTCATTACAGCACTGATTTGCTTTCCAGAACTAGATTTCTGTCAAGCAGAACTTCCAGATTGGTCACTACAGGTTTCAGGAATGGGGCCAGTGTATCAAAGTCAGTTAAATATGGCCCATTTGACACACTGAGGCTAAAAAGCATGACCTTAGTCTTGTCATTATTAAAGTGTAGGAAATTAGCCGACATCCGAGTTTTAACCTCATCAAGGCAGTTTAGTAGACAATCTAGTGGGTAGGCCACGTTTGATGGGAATGCAAACCTGGGTGTCATCTGCATACAAATGGAAAGAACATCCGTGCTTCCTAAAAATAAAACCCAAAGGCAGCAAGTAGAGGGAGAACAACAAAGGGCCAAGCACCAACCCTTAAGGAACCCCACATGAGACGGGAATGAGATGACGTGAAACCGCTTAAAGTGACAATAAACAACCTCTCAGGCAAGTAGGACACAAACCAGCCCAGAGCAACTCCTCAACTCCAACTAAGTGTTGCAACCAAGAAATCAGGAGTCAGTGGTCCACAGTGTCAAAGGCAGCAGATAAATCCAACAGCACCAGAATTTCAACATCTCCAGAATAAGTAGCTAAAAGTATATCAGGGTCCACTGAAGAGAAAACCTCCTTAAACAGGTGGGGAGAAATGCCATCTGTTGGTGAACCTAAGAAAAAAAGCATACATGCAATAACCAAAATGGCAACGGTACACATTTTAATAATGATTAAAAAATACTGCAGTCAGCATCTAGTTTTAGTCATGTTTTTTATGGAGTTGTTGGATTTGAGTGCTGAAAACCAGTGAACTTTTGAGACACACAAGAGTCTCAAGTTATTTGGTACTAGGGTAGGTGTGTGTATTGGCCAGAATCTAGCAATAAACCACAGTAACAGGGAGATAAATATGTACAGATAATTAAGGGTGCAATGGATCATTGTTGATCCGTTATCCACACGGATCTCTCTATGTTTCATGGCCCGTGGTTGGGTCACATGAAGGGCCGAGGTGCCATCTGTGTTTAATTTAAACAAGAAAAGCACAGCAGTGATCAAGGCGGAGGAGGAAAGGAGCTTGACAAACCACCTGCATCATTTAAGTCGTGTGTGAGCATTTAGGCTTCTCTGTAAAATACAAAAATGATACAAATGGCAAAAATGAACACACACACATACACATGCCTCTCTGTGAAAAGGAGGTGGGTGGCGCTTGCAAAATACCTTGGACAATTATTACATTAAAGGCACAGTCCGCAGGATGACGCCGTCAGGGTGAGGAGGAGGAGATTTTTTAAATTCGAACGGCTGTTGCTCACTCCCCCGCCCTTCCTGAAAGAGCCGAAAGCCACACCTCCCAATGTGCACGCGCAGGAAAAGCAGAGTCAACATCTGAGCATTGCTTCTTGTAATAGAGCTGAGCTAGTGTTAGCAATGGAGTTATCTGAGGTAAGAAAGTTGTTTTTAACCAGCACGTTAAACACTTACTGTTTACAAAAGGCATTTTATAAAGAATATCTATAAATATATTTATATTTTAAAATACCAGTAACAGTTGGCAATCTATATTGTAAATAAAATTAATCCTATCAAATTGTTAGCATTTTATTTCAACTAGCTTATTTTTAATTGCTTTGCCATTCAAGATGGAATGAATATATCAAAGCATATAAATAATTTATGTGGAAATCATGAATAAACACTGCATTCTGTGTAGTCCTCCTATAATCATGGTTGTTTTCATAGTTTCTGTTTATTGTTGGTTTAGCCCAAATTTTGACTAGATGTAAACCTGATCTGTGTCAAGATTGATTAATATGCAAGAGAACTTTTTATATTAGTATAATTTTTTTTGTTCTAATACAATTTAGAGTTCAGTGATTGAGGAATCCTCTGAGGAAGAGTTTGAACCTCCTATTGCATCCTCAAGACGTGGTGCAAAAAGGAGATGCCCACCATCATCTCAAAGCCGTGGTGCATCCAGAGGCCGCGGTGCATCCAGAGGCCGAAGAAGTGTGAGACACTCAGCTGTGGACCTTGGAGATGAAGATCTCTCTCGAGTTCGGAATCTTTGTTCCGAGCGAATACTTTGAACGTGTAAGCATAACAAAATTACACTAAATTATCCTAAAAACTGTTGCTGTAGCATCTCTTTCCACTTTTGTAGCAACACATACAGAACCTGAACCCTCAGCAGGCTATTGACATCCTTACCATGGTGCTGGACAGACACTGGTGTTCTCTTTGATGTACTTGCCCTCTCTGGTCCACCTGCCACAACACCTCCAACACCCAATCAACCTTCATGGTGTGTATGCTCCCACTGCAGAGATATACCAACTGATTTGGAAAAGAAATGCTGCCAACAGCCTCCCCAGACATGTATTTCAACTGTACCACACATGGAGGAGTTTATTCTGCAAAATTCCCTGACCCCAATGGTAACTACACTGGTTTTATTCCAAGACGATTGTAAATAAATGTATATATTTGATATTTTATATAAGTTTGTTTTTATATATTTTTGTTTGATGCTCTAATAAAGTGTTCTAAAGCACAACTCTGTGTTGCATTTGTAAAAATACCATAAATTTTAAAACTCCTGCACAACAACAAAAAATTATGTCTACCTCCAACATTTTACATAAATTTTTAAATTATTAGTCCTTATTTCCCCAAAATATATCTTTATTTTCAAAAAAAAAAAATACACAGGAAACAAAAATAAAGAAGGTTTTGGGTTTTCTCTTGCCTCCCCCAACACCTATGTCTGTGGCAAAGTTTTACCTGTAAATAAAAAATAAACTCAATTAGCAATGGACTATAGTGTGGAAGATGTAAGGCAGATAATGTTTTATTTTACCATCACCGCAAGTCCGTAGGTGTTGTAGAAGTTCCTCTGTTGACGGTGCAGGAACTCCGGACAGCAAACCATAACTCCTTGGATCCTCAGGCCTTAGCTTGTAGCGTCGAGGAAGACCTTTCTTGCTTGTCAAACATCGGTTAGTTGCTTCTGGTATATTACAGTCATGAACTGTATCCTCTATGTTAATTTCTTGCAGAGTCTCAAGTTGTAATGTTTTTTGTAATGCTGCTCCAGTCCTGTGAACAAAAGCTTTTTATTAACTATGCGCTATTGCAGTTTTATAGAATGTTAAACGAAAAGAATTACCTTATGTGTATATAAGGTGTGTAGTCCTCATCACCGCTGTCATCAGTACCGCTGTCCATCTCGATGGTTTCGTCCTCCTCTGAAGACGAATCAACTTCTGGTTCTCTGTTTGGTGACCATGTGTCATCTGATGACTCTATCCTGAATATACACAATATAAAGTTTTTAGTATGGAAAATTACACATTTTATTAACATCTGAATACTTACACAGAGTTTTGAATATTGTTGAACTCTTCCTCGTCAATGTTTGCTTCAATTCCCACACAAGATAACCTAAAAAAGTAATTATTGTTTACTTTTCCTGACAAATGTGACAGCCAAATACAGATACAACCATGTACTTACATTTGTGAAGATCCTTCATTTTTAGTTTCACCTTGTTCCATCACCTCCTCCAAATTATCATCCCTATGAAAATAAAATACAAGCACAAGAATATGATTAGAATCAATGCATATTTTGTCATTTTGAAGGTAATAGACCTCGTCTATTGGCCGTCATCATCACCCTCTCCTTATTTTTCTCACTCTACTTATTACGCATTTCTCTGTATCCACTGAATTCCTTCTTTACAAATAATTTCCTGTCTCTCTCTTTACATTTTAAAAACACAATTGTGTTATTTTTTTCTGATAAACTTTGAAATAAAAATCTAATTTTTTAAAATATTTTTAATTTTGTTGTTGTGAAGTGCCTCAAGAGTTTTATCTTGAGAGGCGCTATATAAAATGTAGTTTTACTATTTATTTCTATAAATTTTTTATAGTCATTCATTATCCCATTTCTAGAATTTTTTCAAAATAATCCACCACTAACTTAAAACAAACAGAGGCAAAATTATAATATTCCTGGTAGGTTTTTATGCAGCTATTTACCTTTCAGATGATTCTCCATGAATGCTAGACAGAGCTGGCACTGGTGTTGGAGAAATACACAGCTGGCGCTTCAATGGTGTAATGTTGATGCTTCATATTTGGACTGATGACTGTAAAAAACAAAGCCCAAACATTAGTGATCACAAGCTAAACAAGTCTCCCCAGCCTTCACAGATTTTTGCACGAGCAGATTATCATTACTTTTATTTTAATATGGAGTTTTCACATAGGTAAGACCACAAACTCAGACGGTAATCTGTACACGTGGCCCACCCAGGTTAGCACAATATGTCTGTCAGTGCTAATGGAAACGTAAGATTTTGGATATGTTCCTGATCAATCACACCTAATTCTAACTGCTGAATCTCCTCAGACTTCTACAAGTGCTACATGAGCTGCTGATTACTCATTTTAATCAAACACGCAGCTCAGGAAAGTGTAAACACCTAATTCAGCTTTCAAGATGCTAAATGAACCCCGCTAACGGGGAAGTTATAAACAAGAGCTTAAAACAATATACTGATGTGGCCTATAGTTAAACGCCACACTAATCATTAGCTCCCATATAAACAAAAAAATAAAATCCCCTTTCGTTACTCAAACTTCTTCCAAATATAGCATAAATAGTTCGGCTAGCATCGATTCATGTCGACTTAGCATTCAAGCTAATGCTACATTAGCCATTAGGACACCAAGCATACAAAGCTTGTTTGCTCTATTACTTCTTTCAGTGAAAGAAAGATAAGTAAATTTATCCGAAAAACAATAAATAACTTACCTGTCTAAAAGATACTTTGCCAACTCTTCATCCGTTTTCAGGCCGTGTAGATCACGAAAATCTCTCCATCGTGTGTAAAACAATCTCCAATGTAAATTCTACTCGACTGTCTTAAACGTCTTACAGCCACTTTTGAAGAAGGGCTTTTAAACTTTTTAAATGTTTTTGAGATGTGGAAGGCAGTCGAGGAATCAGTAATTTGGGGTTTTGTTGCTCCATGTTTCTGCAGTAAGCCGAGTGAGGCGCGTGACACTGTTGTGCACGCTGAGACTTGCTCGTGCTCGATGATTGACAGCTGCCCCCTGGTGGAAACGCAGTGCTATTGGTCAACGCGTTAGGCTTGCAGAAATATTGGCTGAGCTCTACAGGGCAGGGGAGGGACTTAGGAGAAAATTGAAATATTAAAGATTATTTACTTTTTTTAATAAAATTGGGTCAGATGGTCAAAATCAAACATTTTTAAAGTTATTCTACATTTAAATGTTGCAGACTGTGCCTTTAACGTGGTGGGACCTGTAAATATTGGCGGGGACAAATTGGTAAAATAGAAGGAAAAATAAAAAGCAGTTCAGAAAGGTGAGTAAATGAGTTGGAAATGTGTACACGGGAAGTAGGGATGTCCCGATTCAACTTTTTTTTACTTCTGATATGATAATGATATTGCAGCCTTCAGTATTGACCTATACCGATTACAATCCAATATGATAATAGCACAAATCATACATACTTTCATCTATTTCGTAGTGTAGAATGCATCAAATGCTTGATCAAGTGATGTTTCTCAATCGGAGAACAAGAGCCAATAACGGCAAGTTTGGAAAAAAAAATAGAATTTTTTTAACCATTGGTTGCAAAAATGTGTACCTTAACAGACTGCTTTTATCAGAGGTTTTTGATGCACTCCGATATAAATGAATCCATAAATCCAGTGTTTTGGGGCCAATATCGGAACGGGACATCCCTAGCAGGGAGTGAGCGTGTCTAAACAAGGCAAGCCATTTATTTATTTATTTTTTTATCACAGTTTTTACTTCTTATAATAATTAATTCTTATTAATAATTAATTAAAATATTTTATACTTTAATTGTGTGTGTGTGTTTATGAGAAGCGCCTCGTGATTTTTTTCTTGAGATGCTTTATAAAAGATTGTTTTCTTTCTTTCTTTCTTTCTTTCTTTCTTTCTTTCTTTCTTTCGTTCGTTCGTTCGTTCGTTCGTTCTTTCTTTCTTTCTTTCTTTCTTTCTTTCTTTCAACATTTAATCTACTGCAATGCTCTTCTAACTGGTCTTCCAGGCTTTACTGTGAAACCTCTTCAAATGGTCCAGAACGCAGCGGCGCGTCTGGTCTTCAATCAGCCTAAAAGAGCACACGTCACCCCTCTGTTCATTGAGCTCCACTGGCTACCACTAGCAGCACGCATCAAATTCAAATTGCTAACACTAGCATACAAAGTCCGAGACGGTACGGCTCCCATCTACCTGAATCCTCTTGCAAAGGCTTACGTCTCGGCCCGGCCGCTCCGGTCATCACAGGATCTTCGGCTAGCGGTGCCTACACCACGCTCAGGACAATCCAGACTTTTCTCATGCATCGTTCCACAAATGTGGAATGACCTTCCTAACACTACCAGAACTGCGGCTTCCTTTTCTATTTTCCAGAAACTCCTGAAGACCCTGCTCTTCAGAGAGCATCTTCTTAACTTGCACCTGTCCCTCCTCTCTACTGTCCACTCCTTGTTCCCTCCTCTCCATGACTGATGTCAGTTTGTTGTTCTTACTATTGTTGTTAGCCTCAAGGGCAAAATGCCGATTATCACTTGTAAGTCGCTTTGGACAAAAGCGTCTGCTAAATACATAAACATAAACATAATCTGCAATTGTACCTCTTGGAATACTCAAGCCAGACATATCTGAGACACATCCAGTACAATTGCAAGATCTTGTTCTGTCTGAATGAAGGCAGTAAAAATGGCTGACACCTTGCAGACAGAATTTGAATTGCATCTTACCAAAGAATTAAAGTAAATGTTCGCATGTCAGTTTAGTATCATAATTCAAAAAATGTTTGCAATATTTCAGTGTATAGATATTTCCATGCATCCCGGTTTAGTACATGCTACAATTGTCTTTGATTTGGAATAGGAATCAGTAGCTGCTAAGTCTTCATCCAGACATCACTGAGCATTTACAGAAAAGCTGCACACTGGTGCAATATTTGTCACCTGCTGCATGACAGGGAGCTGAGAAAAGATATAAAAAGACAATTTGTGATTTAGAGGAACACAGTTTTGGTTAGTTGACTGATTTTAAAACATATTTTATACCTTAAGGTTTTTGAAAAGGCACTGTCATTAATGCCTATCATAGTTTTTTACAGACGTATTAAAGCAGTTTTCAGACAGTTAGATCTTCAATAACACATATACGGATATTTACACATCTCAACAAATCACACAAGAGTTCACTTTAAAATGAGACCAGAAGTTATCAAATAGACCCTGTGGTTGCAGAAGTACTCATTAAAGTGTGTCATTTTTGAGCTGGCCAAAGGGTTAAAAGAGACAGGCTGTATCCAGAAAGGATGCATCCCTGTTGAACTAAAATAGTTCAGAGACATCTCTTTGAAATTATTCCACTTTTGCTTGTTTTTCAGTTGGTCGTCACATAAACTCCAGTTTACATTCTGTTATAGAGAAATCCCTAAAACTGAGTCTAGTGCTTGAGCAGCTGTGGCCAAATTGTCAGTCCACATGACACCCAATGAATTTAAGGTTTTAAAACTTTTTGTTTTGTTTTAACAATTTTGGTTTGTGAAATAGAAGATATATATATATCTGAATTCTAGCAAGACTGGAATAATTATGTCTCAGGTTTAATTTCAAAGCATGGATCACTGACTTCTGCTGGTTGTTTGATATAATTTTATTAGGACATTTTGTTTATAAATGTGTTGATTCAGCCATGACTCACACCAACAACAGGTGTTGTCCTGGTTTCTGTCACAATTGTAGTTGAATTTGAATCTTGATTGCAAATTAGAGCATGGGTCAAATAGCGTTTTATAAAACTGTAGTGCAATATATTGAAATTCTGACCTCGTTTCTGACCATTTGTGTAGATGGAGCAACACTTATTCAATGCACAATGTACTCTTTTGAATCAAAAGCATCCAGCTTGTTATTTCAAGTTAGGAAATCATCTCTTTTCAAAACATGTACCTGCTTCACTACCTTTATGTTCACCATAATCATATAAACATATAATTATGTAAACCCTGTTTTCACTATTTAATTCATGACTCAGAAATGAACTGTAGGACACTTTCTGTGTCTTATAGACTAATTTTCTGACCGCATCACACCTAAATAAATCCTGTTTCCCTCTGTGCAGATGCCAAATGCGGTTATCATGCAAAATCTGTATCAGCGCATGATCTCATTATATTATGTAGGCACCTGAGTCAGTGCTCTACACAGTGAAAGCTCAGAACATATAATAACATTAATAACCTTTAACCTTTGCCCTTAGATGGCAGTGCACTGAAGGTGAATACTAAAATAGCTTGTCCTCCAGCTACACAACAATATGTAGGCCACTTTCTAGTGTGTTCTTTCCTCCTTTTGTAGCTGAGAAATAGTGATGTCATTCTGCAGTGATTCTATAATAGCAGCTTCTTTTGACTTTGACCATAATGTGTTGTCCTTTGTTCTTCAGAGGAGGTCTGTGCGTGCTTGCTTTCTGTTTATTTGAGAGGCATTATTCTGATCTGAAAGAATGTTTCTCTCCCACTCGTTCATCTGCTGGTGCTCAGTCATTTCACTGTGCTGGCAGATGCTACGTTCCTCTCATGCCATGAGTCAGGAAACGGAAAATGTTGTTGAGCTGAGCTGAGAAAATGGAGGAAGTCATGTTTAATCAGGCAGTCTTTTATCATTTATTAGACCACATCTATTTTCATCTTTGTTTTTACTTCTTAAGTTGCTGTCAGTAGAAAGCAGAAAGAAGTGCAAATGTGTTGAGACACAACAGATGCAGCATAAAGTTGGAAAAGTGTGAAGAAAATGAAGGAACAGGAAAGCTGCACTAAACTGGAAGGTGACTCATCCTCTGCAAATCTAAATTACTCACTGATAACAATATGCTCTGCCCTATTTAGCTCACATTTTTTAAAGATGTGCATCACTCGTTTAATATCAATACATTTGCAGTGGACTCTAGTAGGAATAAATTCCTTGTAAGTCGTACTCTAGGGAAAAAAGCTCGGATGTGCCCATTCCGTGAAGTATAGTCAGCTGAAGGAGAAAGTCAATGAACATGACAGGATTTGGACTCATATTTCCTGACATTTTGACTCTGTTCTCTTTGTAACATTAATGTTTTATCTCCGAAAATAACACAGCCTGCAGGACCTCTGCCAAGTGGTGGAGTTGCTAATGGTTAGGGTGCGTAATGAATGGGGGACCCAGGAAAGTGCTGCGGTTTGGCGAGACCGACAACCGGATGGTCCAATGGTTTCTTTTGGTCTGGTTTTGGTTATTGGCGGAGATCTTTAGATTATTTATTTATTTATTTTCGTTTAGTTTTTTTAAGTCTCCACAATAATAAATATTTTAAGCTAGCTTGTTTTGCAAACTTGCCATTGTAGCATTAATACAAGTCTCCAGCTTCCATATAGATGTTGTATAAAAGTTTGTGTTGTTTCTTTTTGTGTTTTACAGGAAGAAGTCCTTCCTGTACTCTGCTCTCTATGCTGCCTGTATTCTGGGGGGGCGTCATGTCATGAAACAAAGGGAGAAGTTTGAGTTGAGGAAACCACTGGTGCTATGGTCTCTCACACTAGCTGTATTCAGGTAAAACAGTTCCATCAGGTTAATTAAACTTGACTTACGTCATGTGAGGAGCTGATGTAGTCTGTCTGATTATGTCGTGATAATCAGTTACCTATTAAACCTTTTCTTTGAGGTTTACTTGTACAGTATATTGTTCTCTAATTTTTTAAATGAGTGATTAATGCTGATTTTCTGTCTTTTGTGTTAAATTTGGAATGTTACCACTAGGAAGTGTAACGTGACTAAGGAGCTATTCCACCAAGGTTATTTAATCCTCTCTCTGCCTCTGACACAGTGCTCGAGTGCATGAGACTGCCTCAAGGTCATGCATTTGCTTCTAAAACTGTTTACTTTCCAGCAAGAGAAGAAGAAGACAAAGGACTCTTTTCTTTTATTAAATCAAAGAACTATATTTTTAATAAAGCTAATCAAAACAAGTGTTAGTCAATAATACAATGCTGACCGATCTGTGAAATAACAATGTTATGATTAATATGCTTTAATAAGTAAATGACTTCAATCTAGTTCACTAGACACACTGATACACGTAATGCAAACGAGGACACATTGCTGTTACTGATCCAATCAGAACCTTCCTAGTCTGAAGAGTGGCATAGTCTCTGTGGCGTTTATAAATCTGCCAACGTTGATTCCACCAGAATTCAAAACATCCAGATTAATAAAACCAGTTCCAACGCCATCTTAGTTCAGTTCTCAAGATCTCACTGGAGTTCACCGCATGCTAAGCGGAGTATCGGACCGGCCATCCGGACTTCCCTTTTTAAGCTGAGAGCCACCAAGCTGGAAAAATCTGTTGCATTTTACCAACCAAGAAACGGTTCCTTTCAGAATAAAAGCTGAACGCACTGACCCAAGGAAGGTCCCTTTTGACGTTCTGAACCACCTGTCGCTTTTTACCTGGAGACAGTCCAAGGACTAGTTTGTCGTACTGTTGACGCTGTACCACTGGCTCCAGTACCGAAAGGAGGGTCCGAGGACCTGGCATTCTGGATCTATACAGGAGGTCTCATTGAGGGTATGTGTGGATGCGACAAATAGGGTGTCTCATGTGTTTATGAAACTCCGGTCAAACTCTGATCGTAATTAGAAGCAAAGCATCATCCCTCACTCAGACTTGCTTCTCCGGATACGAGAGTTCTGATAATAATACGATTCACACACACCATCCATCTCACATCTCATTCAAACAGATCCATCCATCATTAGTTAGTTAGTTGTTTAAATTGTTTAAATTATTTAGTAATAAATCATCTTAAACATTTAAAGGACTCTCTCTCTTCTCTAGTCTCTGTTAATACAAAGTGTTACAAATCCCTACAATAAAAAGTTCCAGTCTTCTGGTGAAATAACTCAGTGGTCCGTAAGATTGATTTCATACTCGATATGCAATCTTAATGTCTCACGGTCCTTAATTAGATGTAAATTAACTTCATTACAGAAGTTATATTTGTATTTGGTATTATCGATATAAAAAATCTGCACATCATAACATAATATTTATACTGTTGGCATTCTAATTGTATTTCTTTTCAGTATATTTGGTGCCATTCGTACTGGGAGCTACATGACTTTCATCCTGATGAGCAAAGGACTTAAACAGTCAGTTTGTGACCAGAGCTTCTACAACGGGCCAGTCAGCAAGTTCTGGGCGTATGCTTTTGTTCTTAGTAAAGCGCCTGAACTGGGTAATGAACTCTGATTGTTTGGTGTAATCATGAATCTTACAAGCATTTGTAAAAATCAAGAAATTGGTCCCAAAAGGCATTAAGTTTAGGATGGCACATGTCCTTACAAGAACTCTCTGAGTCTACATAATTCCACTTTGGCTGAATTAGACCAATCCTTAATCCAGATCTGGGTCCGGATCATGTTGGACCGCAAAAGTTAATCCCTTCTAATTTTACTCACGACATACTTAAGGTGAAGTGTTCATACTAATCAGTCCATTACTTCTTTTTCTCATCGTGTTAACAAACCAACACTTAGACAAACAACATAAACTAAATATTACATAAACAATTTGTGGATCTAAATATAGCAATTCTTTATTTTGTTCTTTTACATTTTCTTAATAGAGAAAGATTAGAAGCCTAATACTTATTATTTTTTCTAATGTCATCATAGTTTTGAATCATCTGCATATTTGAGAATCTTTTCTTGTCCCGTTTACGTCCGCTCTCCCACATGCAGGTGACACGCTCTTCATCGTCTTGAGGAAACAGAAGCTGATCTTCCTGCACTGGTACCACCACATCACTGTGCTGCTCTACTCCTGGTACTCGTACAAAGACATGGTGGCTGGAGGCGGGTGGTTCATGACCATGAACTACTTGGTCCATGCCGTCATGTACTCATACTACGCCTTGCGGGCGGCCGGCTTCAAAGTGTCACGCAAGTTCGCCATGTTCATTACACTGACCCAGATCACCCAGATGCTGATGGGCTGCGTGGTCAACTACCTGGTGTACTCGTGGATGCAGCAGGGCCAAGAGTGTCCATCCCACATGGAGAACATTGTGTGGTCCTCCCTCATGTACCTCAGCTACTTTGTGCTCTTTGTCCAGTTTTTCTTTGAAGCCTACGTTGGCAAGTCCAAGTCATCTGCTACGACTGTCAGCAAGAAAAGCAATTAGAGGAATGCCCAAGGTACAGGAAGGAGGGAGATGGTTAAACAAATTATAAAAGGAATTGGAAATTTAGAGAGGGAGTGAGGGACTTGAGAAGTTTTAGGCTGGGGTGAGAAAATTATGACAAAGGGTTTTGAGCGGGTGGGTGGGAGGGTTGTTGTTCTTGTGCATTACTCATAATGTGCAGATTTAAGAAGCCCTCACTGAAGGTGATGTCTCCCTCCAAGGATTCCTGAGGAAGCAGCACCACCATGTAGAAAAGCCATCATGAGTCGTGCTCCTGAAGTTTAAGTTTCCTTTTGGAATTACGTTTAAAACCTCTTTTTTTATTTAAAAGATGATGAAATCATAATTGATTACAAACGTCAGAAAAACCTTTATTTATTATTGAGATGAAAAAATAAGGTACATCTAAAGATGGATGGTGTCAGCACTAACACAAGTTTTGTCTGTCTGTTTTCAGTGTTTGTTATATATTAGTTTGACCTGAACAAGAAAAGGTTTGAGCTGCCGGTGAACGAATGAAGCTTTAGGAGTTGATATGAGCGGATTGGGTGAGGGGGCACTGTGTTGTCAGTGTCTTATATTGCAAATTGCAATAACTTTCTCAGGTTTTTGGCTATCTCTCTCTGATTATAATATGCATATCAAGATGAAGTAGACATGTTTAACATCTGCTCCAGTTTACAGTATGGCTGAACTGCTTCTAAAGCAGTTGGTGTATTGAAAATATAAAGTGTGAGTGGCAGAATGAAGCTGATTGGACTGGCTGATGTACAGATGAGTGCACTGCACCTGGCCATGGTTGGAAATGGATCCTGGCAGTGCCCTGCTTCACCACTTGTCGACCTTGCTGAAGTTGCCAACCACAAATGGAAAATGACCTGACGTTCTCCTTTGTGTTGAAGTGAAGAAAACCTGTCTGTTGGACACGTAAGTTTTAGATGAAGTACAGACTTATTTGTGTGTAGCAAAAAGGGAAAAAAACTAACAAAAAAATAAAATAAAAACAAAGCATACTGTCTAAATCTGCTGTATTAAAACATAGTAATGTGTCCTGATGGTGTCTGTTGTGCAGTTGCACTATATTAATGTCAGAAAACAACTGTTGCTGAAAAATGTATGAACAAAGTGAACATGTGACATGCCTGTGATCTGTTTTTTTTCCCCCCTGTCTACACCGTCCCGGGTTCATTCACGCATTCCTTGTCCAATTAAACACATTTGAAACCAAACTTGCAGTTTTTCTAGTAACTGTAGAAAGGCAAGTATGTGATTACTGCTTTAGATATTTCAGTAGCAGCAATGAAAACCTTTCTTCGACAGTGGGGATTTCACTTAAACACAAGTTTCTCATTTCTCTCAATTTATTTCAACAATCTTTTGTGTGCTTTGAAGAACTGTTTTGGTTTGTTAAAATCAACATTACAAACATGGTTGTCAAATCTCTTGGGGTTCTGGTCTATCTTTTGCTAAATCACCAAATATGATTCATCAAATATTTACTCATCTATCTTTGCAAAACAATGTGAAAATGACCTTACCAGAAATTACATGAAAGAAATAAAACATTAATAAAAATCAATTTGTGCATAAGTGTATGATTTTATTTTTAGCTTCATCTTTTTGGCCATTATTTGTATGGATGCACAATATATCTGTATCTGATGATGTTTGTCACTTTTTAAACATCGGTATTGGTCCGAAAAATTGGTGGATATTAGCAACTGATAATTGTTCCATCTTGTTTCCATTTGCTTATCTGTTTCAGAGGGTGAGGGGGTGATGTGTGTTTGTTTAGTGACAGTGATTGTAATCATTTCAGAAGCAGAAATGTATGTGGTGTGTGTACATAATATAACTTCAGCTAATCATTTGCATTCTATACAAAATCTGCTGATTTTAGAAGCATTAATGTCAGTTTATTGGAATCGACAAATAATGGTTATTGGCCATAACAGTGATATCAATACTGGTATTGGCCCAACAATTTCATATTGGTGCATCACTAATTATTTGGGTAAAATGATCAGTGAGTAGGTTTGAACCCATCTCCAACCTAGTCTCTTTGCTGTTGTGTCATTGGGCAAGACACTTGACCCCATGTTGCATGTGTGGATATTGATGGTGGCTGAGAGTGCCTGATGGTGCAAAAGGGCAGCCTTGCCTCTGTCAGCCTGCCCCAGGATAAGTGTGAGGTGCTTTGGATGTCTTAAAATCATTATATAAACCTAATCTATTCACTTTTTTGGCAAAAATAGTCATCTTTTCTAAGGGACCAAACCAATAATTCAATGTAAGTACTTCAGTAACATTTTTGTAGTTGTAATTTTCAGTTATTTGTGACATGTCAGTCAGCCTGATTTCTATTAAAGCTGGGGAATGTGGTTAAAAACAGTAACTTAAACATGTTTACATTTGACTGTCTGACCCTGTTCTATGATATAAAGTGAACTAAACTAGAAAGTTATATTTCCCCTAAGTCCCTACCCCGGCCACTACAGCAAAACAAATAATTTACCAGAGCCTAAAACATTGACCAGAGTTGCTGTCAATCAACAAGAATGCACTTCAGTTCCCAGCATGGACTGTGGGGTGACACGCTGAAGCAGTTTAGTAAATATACCCACAGGCATCATATACGTAGACGCCCAATGGACTGGCGCTGCCCATCTTAGATGGGTCTCCATCTGCCCCCAGTGCATTTTTTTTTCTACTGAGGCATGATAGGTAAAATATAAATACTGTAATTACCTAAAATGAATAATAATGAAATTAAAATATACAATCCCAACATGTAGGCTAGAAAAGTCCCACGTGGTCCGTTTTCAAAACTATGCTGGTTGTTGCAACTTTAGGCTGTGCAAAAAAGGGGCGTAGTTGTCCACGCTGCGTTGACTCCGGTTGGGTTTTGAGAGTGAGGAGACCCACCCAATATGGTGGCGACACTGTTACCTCTTCCAGCACCCAATGAGGTGTCTATGTATTCATGTATGCATATACTTAGCTTAAATACTAACTCAATGGGAAGCTCAAGTCACGCCCATCTACTTTCAGTCCATGTGTCCCCTACTGTCAAAAATAGGACTGGGGGTCTTTGGAGTGATAAAACTAATGCTCTCATTCCATTTAATATGTGCTGTTGATTTAACATACGTTAGTGAATCTTAACCCTTTGATGCATGAATTATGAAATCTTCAACCATGATTTTTTTAACAATTTTTTTCATTCGTCTTTAGGTGTGAATGAAACAAATTTCAACAAATGTTTTTTTGTAAGATTTTATAATTTACAAATAATTTATTACATGTCCACCTCAGTGGGCAGCGAGCATTCTGAGCATGAAATATGTTGGCTTGGCTTACTGAAGTCCAAACGGAAGGGGCTCAAATGCAATAAAGTCTTCAACAGCTGTGCTTAATAGCAAAAACAAATAAATAACAATTTTGAGTACCTGTCCACTGTAGTGACCATTATGCATCAAAGGGTTAAAGACACATTTTTATGCCAAGAAGGTGCTTATTTTCGACAGGAAGCAAAAGCTACTTTAGGTTTTGTGTGAAAACACATAAGACTATGACTGCTAGTCTCACAAAGATTACATTGTCAAACCAGACAAGGAGAAGAAGAAGATGAAAAATGGCTAAGTTTAGCAAGTTTTGCATCCTTCTTCCAGGAAAAATGAAGGAGCATTAAACATGGAGAAAAACCATTATCAATCTGCCCGAGTGGTAGAAGCTACGCTGGGGAGAACAAATTCTGCTGTTACGCCAAGGTGCGAATTATGGGGGGGCTAAGCGGAGCCCAGCTCCCCCAAAAGATTGCTTGGCTTCACTAGAAGCCATGGACGTAATTTTGGGGGGGGGGGGGGGGGGGGGGGGGGGGTACAGGGGGGACATGTCCCCCCCACTTTTTCCAAAGTCAAGTATTGACCCCTGCACTTTTTACCATCCAAAAACAATATTACGCTATATTAATTTGACACTGGTTGAGCTCTAGGACCAAGCAGAAAACAACCGTTTATGTTGAAGCCTGTTTCCCATTAGAGCATACTGTAAAGATCCCCCCCCCCCCCCCCCCCCCCCGTGCCCCCCAACTTCTAGAGTGAAAATTATGTCCATGCTAGAAGCCCTCAACTTACACACACAGGGGAAGCTCGAAAAATGATAAATTTTTTTACCTATATTACAATATTTATATGGACTCTCAACTTACCGAGACTGTCTGGAGCAGAGAGGGTGGAGAGTGCTGAATGTTAATGCGCTCCAGGCAGCGGCATCCTACACACGGCCACAGTAACATTCTCAAAGTGGTGCTACTTAAAAATATAATTGACACATGATTGTTCATGTCTGCTCATATTTTCTGGTACTTCCTGTCTTTTATTTGTACTTGACATGTTCTGCTGCAGTGGAGAATAAAGGTTGGTTTATGCTTGACGCGTCCGCGAGATCCGCACGGCTCCGGGCACGGCGAAATTGCTTCATTTTAACAACCACACCCCTCCACCGCGTCTCCGCACAGCCCAAACTTTCCGCAACGCGCACCTAGGAAATTTTCTAATCACGCGGGCGGTCGGATGCGGAAAAACATGGCGGACCGGCAAGAACTAGTATGGCAGAGGTTCGTAAATACAGACATTTGTATGATTCAGCTCTCAAAGATCACCGTGATCAACATGTTGTTAATAATTCTTGGAGATAAATAGCTCGCACTGTCAGAAAAGACGAGGACGCTGTTAAAAATGCTGGAATGCCATGTTGTAAACAGTCATTTCTACTTCTACTATGGTGTAGTGTTGGATGCATGCCGTAGAGCTCCATGCTGCCCCGTTCAGTTTGGGAGAATATTGGCTCACCGCAGAGACGAGCCGCATGAACCATAAACGCTGCGAGTTGTGAAGTGTGTTCCATCCGCGAGCCGCATCACCAAGCGGAAAGTGAATGCGTCAAGCATAAACCAAGCTTGAAACCTGTGCTGCAGTGACTTCACCTCAATGGCGCGACTGCATAGTGTGTAAGTGTTCCCTTTGAACTACTTACCGGGTAGTTTAAAAGTTGCTCATGAGGTGAAAAAATAGGAAGTTATTTTCTGGAGGATTGAGAGGAGATGCAGGAAGATACGAGACAGACAAGAAACTAGTCAAAAACAGAATTTAAAGCAAAGTGCTTGAAAGGGAAAAGGTAACTAAATTTATCCCACTACACATTTTTAACTGTATGAAGCAATGATTTATAAGCATGTATTTGATACAATTCACATCACCTTTAAACCCCCTCACATCACCTCACCACACACACACACACACACACACACACACAGCCCTGCAATTATGATAATCTTTAACCATATATTAATATGGTTATTGTTATTATTATTATTATTATTGTTGTTATTATTATTGTTATTATTATTATTATTTGGTTAACAATCATTTTCAGGGGGCCTGGCCAGCACTTTCAGCAACCTCCAGAAGGGGAGGGGGAGCTGAGGTGGGAGTTAATCCCCTTCATATTTTAAAATCCCCGCCTCCTTGATGGCATCATTCTACAGACCACAGTTCAAAAGTCAATCATTCAAAAATAATTGATTTAGCCACTGTTGACTTATTATTTATTTGTCAGGAAATATAGAATGCCATGTAGCGCAAAGAAGGTACAAATCAGACATGTAATAAATCTCCGTCCGACACTGTTGTGTCTACACAAGGGATTATTGAGGGATATGGGATTATCTGTGATTAACAATGGATTTGAATAATATGAAGAGGGGAAATTTGTACTATCAGACTGACCAGAGACAGGAGTCTGCATTTTATTTGATTTCAGTCAAAATTATATATCTCACCGGCTTTATTTAGATATTTTTATAGTTTTTATTTAGATTTAGTTCTAAGCCTCAAACGAGTGAATGCTTAGGTAATGCTGTCAAACAGCTGTATTTATTGTTCTGACAGGCTGTGGGTGATGCTGCCAAGAGGTGCATCATCATCTGCTTGTACTTTATTTGAACTAAGTAAATCCATGTGCTAAGTGACTGACAGAAAGCAGGCATCACTGCTCAGACCAACAAGTTCATTCCCCTAGGGGATGAAATGTTGGTTTTGTTAGTGATCAAAAATGTACATATTGCATTTATTTTCTCATAAAATAGGCATATTTCTGGAGATTATCTGTAAACAATCTGTTAGATTGATGCTACACAAATATGCCTTTTATTACAGTTTTTCTCAAATGCTAAAACACATTTCACAAACGTTTCCTCCTTGTTCCCCAATGTCTAAACACAACACCCTTTTCTAAAACCACATAAACACAACCACACCTTCTCACTTCAAAACTCAAACTTTCACACCAAAAGAGCAGCTCGAAGCTTTCAAAAATGTAAACACTATACACATGATTACACACTACAGCAAAACAACTGAAAACACAATACTCAATTTGTGAGAAGGTTCTTTGTTTCATAACTGCCAATTTGCCCATTTTTAGAAACTTTACAGTTACGGATCTTCTTAGATCTCTGCAGAGGATTAGGCATTTAGATTTGTGAGTTTCATATGAAGAGTATAAATCTATAGAACA